TAGTTCAACACAAAAATCCAACACTTTCCCCTCGCGTCTACTTCATGTGGCAGGAGTGCATACAAACAGCAGTCCATAATAATATATCCCAGCATGCCTCGCTGCATGAAGCATTAGAGTGCTTTGAGAGCAGGGGCATGCGGTGTGAATCTTTCAACGTTTTCACCGCTGGCTGTGCGTGAGGGGCGGATAGCTACACCCCACATCTAGCGGCTGCTGAGGTGTCCCTTGTTGCCTGGCAACAGCTCAGCTCGTTTTAACCCCTTAAGTAAGTATTAAGTGATTCAGCAGTCTGAGGCCAGTGACGGGTGGGCTGCTACAAAAGTGACAGGACTTTATTACTTTCCGGGGTTTTAGCGTGGAGCTCTGTGCTCAAAAACACACGGCAGCGTAAAGTCTGCTCCACTGAGCTTGACCCCAGACATCTCTCCATGAAATGAGTCATAGCAGAATCAGCCCTCTGACAAAGGCCCCATGACATCCACAGAAGCAGGAAGCTATTAGCTTAAAAAACTGCGATAAAGGGCATGTTTAAACCTGGTAGTAACATCCATCTCACGTGATTCCATCATAAGTGGTCGCCGCTTATACCCGTGACTACTTGCGATTTTGTCGAGGGGAGCCAGCACAAGCACATGATTTAAAGAGATAGTTCACACAAATTAAAATACTTTCTTCTGCACACTGCAGAACACACAAAAAATGGAATGTTAGTGTTACACATTTTTCTCCATACAATTTAAGTCAATGGGGCCCAAAGGAACCTTGCACTGCACCCAATTAACTTTAATTATATAGACTTTTAAAAAATTGCATACAAATTTAAAAAATACATTATAATCAGGGCTTGACATGAACTTTTTTACTCACCAGCCACAGTGAAAAAACTGCCATATAGATATTTTAAATATCTCATAATTTGGCAGCAGGTATATTAGGCTGCGGTCACTTTAAGACCTGACGCACGGATCCAATATACTGTTTCACATGCATTTTCTTTCTCAACCGTTTACGTTCACTTAAAACATAACTGACTGTGTTTACGTGAATACTCACCAAGACCGGCATTTTGACATTATTTTGTGTGTATTTGACCGTTTAAGCGCAATCAGCAGCTAAAAAGAACTCAATTTTGTACTGAGAGGTGGCTGTGAGCACAAAATCTGATAAAATTAGAAACATTATGTGCAATACAAACAATCCCATGCATAAATTTAACCCCATAACACCAACAATATTCATCCGGAGCAAATGAAACGAGTGAGGGGAGGCGGGTTTGTGTGTAACTCGCTGTCGGAGAGATGAGAGAGAGAGAGAGAGAAAGAGCAGCTGGTGTTGTGCATCTATTCTGTGGAAGATTAGTACTGGGAGCGTTTCAGATATATCAGTCTCGATATATATTGACAACACTGCATTGCACGTAGTTTATTATTTCAGATGCCTTTTTAAAAGACTACAATTGAAAACTTTATATATATTATATAAATTCAACCTCCCTCAGTGGCTAGTAGGAGCTAATATATACACACACATATACACACACATAATGCTTATCAAAATGGTTCAACCTCAAGCTGCAGTCTTCATAACCCACACATCCATCCATCTTTCATTCATAGATTCTGAAAACTCCTCTTTAGTTAATTGCTTGGGCCAGTGCGATCTGAAAGCTTTTAGATGAGAGAAATAATGAAGCTGGGATCATTCCTGTCACCTTCTCTGTGAATGTCTTACTGATGCGCTGATTGCAGATCATTCTGCGAGTGTTCATCTCTTCAGCATTACTGCAGGGTTTATGTCCTTCTCAGAGCTTTGAAGGTTTCTGAACGAACAGACCACTAATATGGTGTGAAGGACAGTTTGGCACGCTGTGGCCTTGAACTGCAAAATCTGCATGTATTCATCTCTCAGCTCAAAGAGACAAACGACTAAGCGGCAAAACTCCAGAATCACTGGAAAGGACTGCTGTTTCACTTAGCACAGCATATAACCTGCTTAAAATAAGGCACGATTAGTAATGTCCCCCAGGAGCAGTAAAATCTTCCTGAACACAATTGCCAGGATTCCTTGACCTCCAGGTCCATCTTGCCTCAGGACATAGTGGGCAATACAGAAATACAGCTGGCAGCTAGAGGTCAGCCGGGTAATTATATTAAATTAACTTGTGTGTTATACAAGTTGTTGAGATCATGTTTCTCATGATCAGCATTTGTCCGTTTGGAAGCCAAATCACATTAACAAACTGGCCTACATGCTTTCCATCCACCATTCTTTGCAGAACACTCATGGCTAAATACTAAATAGAAACAAGGCAAAATTAACATTTAGTTATAGCCAGATCTAGAGAGTATCTGCAAATTTGATCATTTTCTGAATCATTTTAGTGGACCTAAGAATAGTAAAATCTATTAAGAGTGCAGTGCTAACTTAATTTATTGGCCAAAATATATATGAGTATGTATACGATATACATACGAACAGGCAAGGGGCGGTGAAGTGTATAATTTGAATAGTATTCAAACTTGCATTGATTGGTCGATCGGTAGGTGTGTTAAGGTCACTGCTATTGTTCTAATGTGTGGTGATGCTCGATTTATCGGAGTTACATCTCCCAGCAAACCTCCACCGCAAATTCAGCAAACTATAAATCGTTTGCAGTAAATCAATCAGCAAAAATCAATCCATCGCTATAAATGAAAGCCCTGCCTCTGTCCCAAGGCTGAGGGGAGAAGAATCTGTGCCCAGTATTTCATACGATCGCAGTGTTTTAACTCTGCTCAGTAAACATTGTTCGATTTTGGGCTGTCCCAGACAAAAGATGACTAATCGTGGCGTGGCTCCTGAACGGTGGTCCTACGTCGTACAGTGAGAGGTTGGTCTTGCGACCAAAGATAGCCTGCGATAATTTTCTGACAGTGTCAGAAGTTTAGCATGATCATCTCACAGTGTGTTTGCTGCCATGACCTACGTTTACTGACTAGCCAATAAAAGTGCAACATGAAATGGCATATTGATCAACGTGACACCGCGCAAAAACTTAAAACTACTTTCCTCAAGCTCCATTTGCAAAATTAGAATGCCAAGTTGGCCTCTTTTCCCTAGCCATGACCACGTCCATATTCTCCTCCTTCGCTTCCTCCTCTTTTTTTCAGCGCACATAAAATTGCCAAATTGTGATTCATCTTGCTCTATTTGTTTGCCACTAGCGCACACTGATGATGTTCTATTCTTCTATACTAACTTGCGTCGTAGCCTACGATTCAATAGGTGTCATCATCGTAGTCTACATGCATGTCGTACCCAAGTTTATTAGATCCTTGTCGTACAGTGTGATTTGTAAAGATCTTATAGGCTTGCTGAAATCGCACAGTCTGTAGCAGGCATTACACAGCCAGACAACGTCTTCATCCTTTCTTTTGGTGTACAAAACCTCTCGTATGAACAGCACAAGTCCTTGTTGATCTCCAGGCCACCTATTATCACTGATATACCCTGTATACAACAAGATTCATTACACAAGGAACAAACATGCAACTGTGTCCCTGAGCTGTCAGCTGACCTGTTAATGAGTGTAAAGCGCCCGTGGCTTCTATGGATTTACGACATGTTACGCCAGCAAGTTTATGTTTTGCACGAGCAAAACCATGTGCTTTTACGTTTAACAAAAGAGTGATTATTAGAATGTGGCATTTTTCAGAGCACACACTTAGGTAGCGGACACTAGTCATCCGAATGTTGAGGTTGAAGTTTAGGAGGATAGTATTTTAAGGTGACGATGACCCAGCACCGTTTTAACCGCTCTCAGTTCATTTTATTGACATACCCTCTGAGAAATTAGGTCGCCGTGCGTTCATTATCATTTCTCTAGCAACGATAACATCATTACAAGTCAGCATCAATCTTAAAGAAGTCACATAATACTGTCAGCCTGATTCTCTCCCATCTCTTGTGATGTCTCCAAACGTCTGATGAAGAGACATGGGTGTATATCATATATTATCGTAAAGATGCACATTTTCTCATGGAGATGAGAGTGAAAGATTTTAATAAACTAATCCTATTTGAGAAATTGTTGTTCCTCATTCCACTATGATCTATTTAAAACGCATGCACATCTATGCTGTTCGCAGAAACTGACACATGTGAGCTTTTCTGTAACTTTGGTCTTTTCTTTCAGCAAAGAAACCCACCTGAACCAACACTGAACCCAAACTATGATCTTTGATGACCTTCAAACTTTAACCCTTGACCTCTTTAGCCCCGTTTTTATTGACTGAAGCCACAGGAAACCTTATGAAAACTATAAACAATGCAAAGTCCAAAATCTATGCCTGTCGTCTACATAAGAACACACACACACACACACACACACACACACACACATATATATATATTACTGACAAACTCACTTAGCAGGTGATATCTTCTGAACAGATTAACCTAGTGTGTGTATAATATATATATACACATGGAACATCAGTAAGTCATTATCACTACAGTAAACCAAATTTAAGACTTCTTACACTGCATTACAGTCTTACATTATAATCTTATAAAATAGATTTGGCTTGGGAAAAAGAAAAATAGAAATAATCTATTCGTATCCCCATATTTCAATGAATAATAATAACCAGCACATAAATGAAACGGTAACATCGCACTGACAGTAACAGAGAAACAAAATGGAAACTAAATGACAGAAGCGACCATTGCGACTCACACAGCACACGTTCTTGCGTCTTTGGTCTCGTTGTTACGTCTTTAAGACGCCGAGTCAAGTTAAAAACTGTTCAACTTTTAAAAAGGGTGTCTCGAGACCACAACGTCCTGTTTATAAAGGTAAGAACGCGTCCCGTGTGAACGGCGTTTCGCATTCCGTACGCGTCGGTTTTTCTTTCAGCACCTCCTAAGATCACAATAAACATACAGCAAACATCTCAGTCATATGCAGCCGACTGTTCACAGCTGCTGGGCGGGCATCGAGTCGTCTCTACACGTACCTGATTCCGCTATCCGAGCGTGAGCGAGCGTTTCCTGCGCGCAGACGTGCGCCGTGAACCGCGCCAAATGGAAGTAGAGTCCAAAAACTCATCGGGCTCCGGCACCGACTGTCGGGTCTGAGTCTGAACTGTGTATTCTCGGAATCCCCGAGAACTCCGCAATGTTCACACTCCTACTCCTCCTCCTGCTCTCTCTTGCCCTCCCTGTCTGACTGACTGAGTGAGCGCAGCTTAAAGCTACAGGAGGCGCTTTGTGTGTACGTGCGTGCGCGCGCACAGGGAGACCGTGCGTCAGCTCACCTCTCACCCTTAATAATCCGGAGTAATCTCAGAAAAGGAGAGCCTTTATGGTTTCTGATATAGCGTACTGTATTTTATAAGCAAAATGGATAAACATTTACATTGTGACTTATTTGACAGAATAAACAATTAGGCAACACCAAAGCCATTCACAGGACCAAAAGTGTGATTGTAGCCTACAGACAATCTCAACACTTTTGATATTTAGTCTACATATAATATATATATATGAATATTTATTTTCCACCAATGAAAACGTTTTTTTAAGCTCTGTTGTAGCATGTTTACATTGTTTTTTTAATGAGTATTATTCAACAAGTTCCTGGATCTCGCATACACTGGATCAGCAATTTTTGTGCTATCTCACCAAGTTGACCTTTGAACTTAGGGGACCTTTCATCTTTGAACTTTGACCCCAAATGCCACATGAATGGAGATACAATATCCGCCCTTCATTCCTTCACCATCTCGAGTTGGTGACCTGTGCTCCAAAGCTTTTCACGGAACCATGGTTCATGGAACTTTAACCTTTGACCTTAGAACAGAGACACACGTGTGTTTAAGTTTTTTTTTTTTTTTTTTTTTTTTTGTCATTCTGTAGATTGGCCTCCATACGCAACATATTCTTTATGGACAATATACCATCTGCAATTCAGCCTGTTGATAACCAATCTTTAAAGAATCAGGTATTCTATAGATTTATTGAAATTTTGGTAACATATACTGGCTGGTTTTGATGTATTCAGTATAAACATATTTATTAGGTATTTTTTATTAGGTTTATTTATATACATGAATGCAAAAATTAATGTTTTTGAAAGAAGTCTCTTATGCTCACCAAGGCTGCATTTATGATCAAAAATACAATAAAAACAATACAAGTTTGAAATATTATTAGAATTTAAAACAACTGTTTTCTGTTTAAATATATTTTAAAATGTAATTTATTCCTGTGATTCAAAGCTCAATTTTCAGCATCATTACTCCAGTCTTCAGTGTCACATGATCCTTCAGAAATCATATAATATGCTGATCTGTGACACTGAAGACTGGAGTAATGATGCTGAGAATTCAGCTTTGTCATCACAGGAATAAACTACATTTTAAAATATATTAAGATAGAAAGCAGTTCTCTTAAATTGTATTAATATATTACTGTTTGTGTTTGCATTATATTACTGTTTGACATGATATTTTGGATGTTTAACATCATCAGATCAGATGAACGAAAACTGATAAGGTTTCTTCATCTATCATTAGCAGAACTTTCTAAATAGTATTTTGAACTGATTGCCACAAACAAGTGTCTCAGACTGAATGAAGTATATCCAGTCTTACTGTACAATATGGCTTTATATGCAATTTCTTTCTTCTCTGCTGTCATTGAAATGCAGGACAGGTTTATATTCTGGTTCCACAGGTCCAGCAGGGAGCCCAGGACATTTGAACTCAGACGCCTGACTGTCTCAAGGGGAAGAGGCCGCTGTGTCAAAGGACATTAACCTTTAACCTCTGGCCCCATCCATGCATTAACCTCTGTGTATCTGCTGGCCAGAGAGGAAGAGAGACCAGCGAGAGCAAAAGATGTGACACGAGATGAGACAACAATGTTAAGGAAAATAAGCATGCTGGCAGCAAGACCTCACTGTTCAAATGCATATGAATACATTTTGTTTGACAATTTCTGCAAAACATGACAGGCGTCACTGACCTCTTGAACCTCAAATTAGATTTGTATTCAGAAACGTAAGAAGGCAGGCACTGTAAACACACTTAGGAGAGTATTTGGAAGGTATTTGCAACAGAATGTTGAATGTCAACAGATACAAATTTACTCTCGGAATTGTACAAAATAGTTTAAGATAAACAAATTGGGCGGAAGAATGGCAGCAAAAAGTCAAGAAGCTGAGAGGTGCAACATAAACAAGTGTCAAGTTTCTCTCTCGGGAGCTTTCATTATACACCTATTCAAATAAGATTCTGACTAAAAAACTCCATGAATTGGAATGTTCATGTGCACTAAATGCGCTGTCAACTGTTTGAATAACACCTGACAGAGCATTTCTTAATGACAACTCTCTTGAGTGCTTGGCATGATAATGGATATGACAATGTTGATATGTTTGTTCTGCTACGCTGCTGCTGTTGGTTATTGCTACTGGCAATACATGCATGCTGCTGTACAATATAGCATACATGAATTACCCATTTCAGATCTATACAGGTGGAGCTGGGGAAGGTGGAGGGTTTCTGAAAGCATGCTGCAACTGCTTCAGCAAAGGCTGACCAAGTAGGCTATGTGAAGGTTGAGCAATGAGCTGATTGGCTGCTGATACAGCAGGAACCAATGCGGAATGATGCGATTGAGCAGATTGAGTTAAGGACCTATCCTGCGTCGTCTAGAGTTTCATGATAGAACTTTGTATATATTTCACTGTCATTCTTGCCATTTGCTCACTTGATTTACTCAAAAATAAACAGTTATTTATATAATTATTTCATTGGATTTCTCTTAAATCTCGCGCTTTTAAACTTTCCTTGCATTTCTTCACTTACAATCCCTATTAACACCCTTTATAAATTAAATGCAAAAACTGATGGAAAGCATTTTAACCCATAGTGAAAAAAACTATATGCCAAAATGTATTTAAAATAAATTAAGGCTGTGCAAAGATTAATTGCGATTAATCACATCCAAAATAAAAGTTTGTGTTTACATAATATATGTGTGTGTGCTGTGTATAATTATAATACACCCCCCCCGGGTGTATAATTATAATACACCCCCCGGGGGGGTGTATAATACACCCCCCCCCCCCCCCCCCCCATAAAAACATAACATAACATAAACCAGGATAGAATATGCAAAATATTGCAAAATAAATAAACAAATTAATCAATGCAAAAGTATATGCAATCTGGCATAGAAAAAAAAAATGTACCAAAAAAAAACCACAACTTGAATGAGGCTTTATGAAAAGCATTCCTTTAAACTGAGAGTAAACGACACAGGTGATCACCACAGCATCCAAAGTCATGACCTAGATAAAGATGTATTCATAAATAATCAGACAGGCATGAAGGCATAAGATTTAATATTCTGTTTTTGCAGGGCTCCAAATATACATCTATAAATAGCCCTCACAGGATTATATCTTGAACAGGAAGCTTTCAGAGCGCTCAGCGACTGATCATCGCAGGTATTAAAGCGAGCGTTACACTCGCAGGGGTTCAAAGTCCGTCTGAGCACCCGTTAGCCTCTTGATATCTCCATGATATGTGTCAGAAAGAGGCGGGAGGACGGTGTCATCCTTTTTTCCTCGTCTTTTTTCGCTCCCTGAGGCTCAAAGACACAAAAGGCGAGAGACAAGAACGTCTCTGAACAGCGTCTCTGGTGCATTCATGCTATAAAAATGGTTTCCAAAAAGACGTTCTCTGCGTTAATCAAAACTGATGAGTGATTTGAGCTTGTCGTTTCATGAATAAATAAGTTTAAAAGCTCCCCGGTGACTGACGGGGAAGAGAGCATTTACTCTGGATGTCCCTCTTTACATCTTCAGCATTTAACCTACATTCGCAGGCTCTCAAACACTTTGGCTGTCACTTCTGTGTCTTTGCTCAAATTTGAAATCTAGGTTGTCGCTGGTGTGCGTACGTGTGAGTAAATGCTGCGAAATCTAGCAGAAGGACAAGTCCCGGCCTGTCACAGAGAGGTGGTTCACGGTCTATCCTTCCCCGCACTTTCCGAGCGTGTCTTCTTGACCTACTTTGTGGTCTTTGGTTAATCCCTGGATATAAGAGAGAGAGAGAGAGAGAGTGGTCTGGGAGGGGCTGCTTTGCTTTTCTTCTGCCTCATTTGACTATCAGATGGAAAGGACAGAGCCCCTTGTAAAAACATTTCCAGGCAGCCATGAGATTTGAATGTGCCATCACAGCACTCTCCGCCGTTGTTATTCTTTCGCTCTCTGATCTTTTCCCTACTGCGATCCTAAAGATCTTTTTCTCGGAGGAGGCGTCGTATGCGTCTGAGTTGTTACTGACACCGAGACATGGTTCTCATCAGGTGACAAACAAGCTTTGACATCTTTCCTGTCATGTTGCGTCTGGCCTTGTTTCTAACTTAACACGCCATTCTCTGGAGACGCCACCGATATTTTCTTCTTTTCTACGAGAAGGACTTTGTTGTGGATCAGAATCTTTCCAGATTGAGAATAAACACATTATAAAAGCCAGTGTATCAGCTTTCCAAGTGACACAGTTGGGTGAGATTTTATTACCCAGCGTTAAAAGGATCGAGTTATTGAACCTCTTGTCATCCTCGTCCGTGTCAGATTTCTGATGTTGTAGTTGATAGGGCATTGTGTTTGTGTTTAGGACGCGTGTTACAGACCTCAGCTTCCACTGCAGGATGAAACAGAAGGAACTCTGTGTGGAGGTTTCTAATTTTCTACCCCAAAATTAAATATTTACTCACCCTCAAGAGATTTCATTCAACTATGTGCTATTTTCCAAAGTCTGAAGCCATTTGATAGAGCTATGACTGAACCTGGCCTTCACTGTAGCTTTCAAATCTAATAGAGTGGCATCACTGCATCAAATAAAATGTCAATTACATGATCAAACATCATTGGTTCTTATGTGTCTCTTGACCAAATATCATTTAAAATTAATTCTGAAAGTTATCCTATGGCTTTAGAACACTTGGAATACATCAAATATTAAAACTGCACTTATATTCAATTTTTCATGTTAATGGCGATTCTACAGAGCCCCTGAAAGGGACATGGTGAAGGGAAAAAAAATATGCGATGGGAGGAAAAATGATATCTCAATTCTTTTGCGGTCTCTCGCAAATGTTTTGCGTTCCTCTGAGAAACTTTGCGTTCACTCACAAAACTTTTACGTACCCTCGAGAAACTTTGCGTTTGCTC